CGCTTACGGCTGGAGAAGAAAACTAAGGGCGGTAGAAAATTGAGGACAATATGGAGAAAGGAGAGAACGGGAACTAGGAAACATTACAAATGAGCCCTTGGGCGCTATTTATAAAACTTGCACGGAAAACTAAGTGTCACATTGAATAACGTGTCAGTTACTTGTTTCTCCACCACCCACACGTTCAAAGTCATAATGACCCCTACTCCCTAGGCCATCATTATATCCTAAGAACTATGTCGCGTGGCTTATAAAGTAACCATCCGGCGAACTTTCGTCTCCCCGTGAGTCGAGCAGCATGTAAATTTTCTCAACGAACATGCTCTGATCTCCATTCGAGTGGTCGCATATAAAGACGACTATGTCCCTCGACGTGATAGGGGGCCTCGGCAAAATTATGCTCACCATATGGGAAAGTTGTTCTTAAGTCATAGCTTCTCTTCTCAGGAGCAACGACTTGGGGGGATCCTGTTCTGGATTGGGCCTGCACTTGGCCCAAACATCATACAAGGCCCAATCCAACTATGTTATAGGAGAAGACCAGCAGGAGAGAGTCTGACCTTGACCATGTCGGGTAGTGATTCCACTCCTCTCATCGACTAGGATATGTCCTTCAGGGACAACCTCACCATATGATTGGCAATGAAGACCGACGGCACTCAGGAGGTCCTTGCGAGCACCCTCCTCGTAGGGCAGACATCCAATGCCTCCAAATATCATGGAGTTCTTTTAACCCTGAAAAGACTGCATCCACGTCCTCCTGATAATTCGGAGGAGTCCATTTAGGTTGGAAACCATGTGCTGGACTCCACTACACACATAGGTCCTGACAGTCTCCATTTTGGGCCTGCTTGGTCGGCCTAACATGGGGACCTTGGCCCAGCGCTGGGGGCTATGAATACACTCTCACTCGAGAGGGTCAGGTATTTAATCATTCATCCATACTTTCACACTCTACTTGCACTTACTTTGAACCTTATTTTAGCATCAGAGTGTCTTGTAGATACCCCTAAGTTCACATTCAATCGCTTCCCAACTGGAAGCTTGTGGGCCTTGACGATCTCTTCTGATCAGGTATGATCAGGGATACATATAGAAAGTTGCAAAGATGTGATGAGGCCGGTAGTGACAACATTTGGGGGGATATCTGGAGATTAAAATTCGTGGAGCGTGTGCGTGTGTTTATCTGATTACTCAATCATGATAGACTAATGACAAATCATCGGAAAAGTTTATGTGGTATAGGAGATGCAGCTTGTCCCTTGTACGGTAGCGCTTGCGAAACTACCCTTCATGCCATGCGAGACTGTCTAGTGGTGAAAAGAATGTGGGAAAGGATTGTTCCCAGAAACTTTACTAATATTTTTTATGCAGGAAACTTGCAGGATTGGATGAAAGTAAACATGAATTACCAAGGTGAAAATAATGGGTGATGCAACACTTGGGCTATCGGGTGCCATGCAACTTGGACTTGGAGGAATAAGGATACTCATGTTGAAAACTATACTAGACCTCTCCATTCAGAAAGCACCATTATTGACAGAGTGCATCGTTACACTCAAGCTATGTTGCTGCAGAGAGAGATTCTAGACAAGCAGAAAAATATGGAAGCTATTAGATGGCATCCCCCTCGTCCAAATTTTGTCAAGGTTAACATTGACGGCTCTTGCGGCAAGGATAATATATCTGGTTGTGGTGGCATTTGGATGTGTGGCTTTTCTAAATTTATTTGGCTCTTGTAGTGCTTTCATGGCAGATGCGTAGGGAGTTTTTGAAGGCCTCAAACTCAATTTAACTAGAGGCTATACGCATATCATAGTGAATACAGGTGCTAAGAGAGTGATATATGTAATCATGCACAAGGATAAAAATGGCTCCTCTAATTTGGCTTTAATCCATCAAATCTGATTGTTAATGGCCAAGCACGATGTTGTTATTCTATAGCATACATTTCGGGAAGCTAATAGTATTGTAGATGAGCTTGCTAAATCTGCGAGATTATAGAAGAATGACTACCAAATTTTTGAAGAGGCTCCTGAGCATTTCAAGAATTTTCTTCAAAAGGACTCTCTTGGTTTCTCTACTCCTAGAGTAGTAGTTTTGTAGTTTTTTTTTCTTTTTCGGGCTTCGGCCCTCTTGCTTATCAAAAAAAATATGGAAAGTTTTTTAATTCTATCTTTATTTATCAATTAAAGACTTCTCTTATCGATTTTAGGCGTTACAAATGTTTTAATCGATTAACCAGTATAAAAATGTATCCTAGTTTATTAAATAAGTCTTTAATCAATTAAGGATGCATATAAAAAATTTTCAAGTGTTTTATAAAACAAAAGATGTATTTTTAAAAGTCGTTGAGTGTGTGTGTGTGTGTGTGATGTCTTAGTATTTCAAGAATTACTCTCATACTTTAGCACATGACTAGGCGAACTTTCACCCTTCTTCTATTTTACAACTTTGGAGCTTCAAGTCTTTTTGCTATATTCAACGATGACTTGGCACTTCAACTAGAACTTGAATCTTCTAACTAATGAGGCTTGAGATATTTCTTCTTAATCATATACCAATGTCGTTTGACATAAAATGTTGTCATCATCAAAACCAACAAGAATATCTAATAGTTAAGACAGTTATACCTACAAGCACATATAAGTATAACAAATGGATGTGAAAACAACCTTCTTTCATGTTGATTTGGAGGAAGACATTTATATAAAACAACCTGATAGTTTTCTTGTTGAAGGTAAGGAAAAATAATACTATGAGTGTAAACTTAAAAAGAGTCTATATGTTTGAAGCAAGCTCCAAAGTAGTGACACAAGATGTTTAAGTCTTTTATGTTTGACCAATGATACATAAAGACCAATTCTAATCATTGTGACGTTGTTAGAAATTTTTTTGATGTTGATTTTATTATCGTATTATTATATGTTGATGATATGCTTATCGTTGGTAAAATCATTTTATAGATTGACAAGTTAAAGAAGTTCTTGGTAAGTCTTTTTCTCTGAAAGACATGGAAGCCACTAAATAGATTATAGGTATAAGAATGGTGTGTGATAGAAAAAAGAAGAAATATATCACAAGAACACTATATTCAAATAATGTTGCAAATATTTCATATGGGAACTCTAAGGAGGTAAACATTCCTTTTGGTACTCATTTTAAATTAATTTTTAAACAAAATCCTTGTAGTGAGTATGAAAAAATAGACATGGAATGGATTCCTTATACATCTGTTATGTATAATTTGATGTGTGCATTGTTTGTACAAGATCGGATATTGAATATGTTATTGGTACATTCAATAGATTTTTTATTAATTTTGGATATAGAGCATTGGAATGCTCTAAAATGAATTTTGAGTAATCTTTGTGATACTACTTGTACCATACTTTGTTTTGGAGGTGACAAAACTAATTTGGTGGGATACTTCGACTCATATAAGACTGTAGATATTGATTCTAGAAAGTTTATTTTATGCTATGTGATTAAATTTGCATAATGAGTTATGGATTTACAATCTAGGTTACCAAACTGTGTAGCATTTTCTATTAAAGAGGAAAAGTTCATTGTCATTATTGAAGAAGGAAAAAAGTTGATATGGTTGAAGAAATTCTTGCTATAGTTTGATTTTGTTAAAAGACAAATATCGGGTATTTGTTCATATTCAAAGTGTTACTCATATTGATAAAAAATTAACTTTTCATAGTAGATTCAAACACATGTGAGGTATCATTTTGATAAAAGTGTTATTCATATTGATAAAAGTTTGATTTTGAAATATATATATATATATATATATATATATATATATATATATATATATATATATATATATATATATATATATATATATATATATATATATATATATTGTTTTTTAAGTCCTTCCTTCTCTTTCTTCTCCAAACTCGAGAATAAAATCTAAAAACAAAATTCTAAGGGCTAGCGGCAAAAGTTGAAGGTATAGAAAGGTATAACATTGGAGAGAATCTCAGGCGATAAGGAGAGGAAGTACAAAATTGCAAGGTCTTCTGAAGGAAAAACAAATAAAAAATAGAGGAAATGAGGGTAAATTTCGTAATTAAGTAAAAAATTTGTAATCCAAGAGTTTGAAAACCAAAAGAAAAATGATTTATTTTCATAAATTTTCATTTCAAACTTGATTTAATCTTACATTTGCATTTATCTTATTTGTCTACTTGTTTTAGCTTCCGTTGACATTTAAGTCGAGTCTAAAGTCACTCGATGCATCTTAAAACCCAAAAAAAACTCTACATTCATACATTAGTTTTTGCTTGTGCATTAAATAGCAATGAGTTTATAGGTTATCTCCACAAAGCACCGCAGAGCGGAGACTTTCTCTCCACCCCATTGGGGGGCCTTAAATGGATGGGGAGGCCCGATGAGAATCCCCACTTAAATAGACAAATTGACATCTCTAGCTACAATTGATGATACAAGTCTATAATATCAAACCATACCCACCATATAGATTTTTATATACAATGTTCCATGTCAACTTAAAAAGGAAAAGATGAAGATTCGTGATGCACTTTCCGCAGTAGTATCGACAATTCCATAATAACAAACTACTAGACATATAATACGCATAACGAGTGCTAGCAACACATTTTCTGATGAATGAATTTTCCCCCCTAAAATTTTCACTAAATTTCTCTCCAGTTTTAATTAAAAATTCCCTATTCCCCTTTTTTTTTATATTTCAAAGTATCTCTCTAGTTTTTTATGAATGCTGGTGTGGATTTCACTGGATGGAAATGTGACATGAGAGAAAATCCATTCCTCATTCTCTGACACACTCTTTCTGATACTCTTTATTATTATTTGAAATTCATGTGTGTGGCTCACCGCGTCAAAGTCCATGTGGATTCCAATATGAATTTCAGCTAACAATAGAGAGAGTGTCACAAAGAGAGTGCCAGATAGAAAGTATGTTGCAAACACTTCTCTTATAAGAATAATTTCGAAATAATAGTCTAACATTGGGAAGGCCTATCATAAGTTGGAGGAAGGGAAGGACAGTGCTCATTCATATTAGCATACAGATCCAAGGTGTTGTAGCCCGGAAATTCCATCTTATATTCACCAAGAATCTGGCAGAATGGAAGCCTGTCATTCCCATTGTTGCACCATCTTGGTAGCCGTGTCTGATTATCTTCAAAAATCCTAAGCATGTATGCATCACGAATCTGCCAAATGCCAATGACAACATGGTAACATAAGATTAAGAAAAAGAAATTATAACACGGCTGAGATTCATGCAATGACCAAGGCAACATGACTTACTGTGAATTCAGTTACTTGAATGGAGCTAGAAATGGGACCGAATATTCCAGCCTCTTTATACATTGAAAGAATAAATGCCACACATGTTGTGGACTTGCCATCACTATATTCCCATTCATCTTGTTCTGGAATGGCAAGCAATTCATCAAAAGTTATCCCACGCTTCTCAGTCTCGAGTAGAATGTCATGCAACTCTAAATCCTGAAAGCACAAACAAATGAGATCCCACTAACCGTAAAATAATACAAGGACAAAATAATATGCCACTGGAGTTTCTGCAATCCTCATTAATATTAAAGACATTCAATAGAATTTGTTATGAACTATTTAAAAAATAGATGATCGGTAAGAACATTACAGAAACATCAAACAAATTCATACAAGACTAAAATATGTTTTCGGTCCTTTATCTTTTACCCAATGTTGATTCTTCTCAAGTTATTTAACTTTCAACAGATTTATTTTAATCATTTATGTTTTGTACGTTATACTATTATAACTATTAGTCCTTCTGGCCATCTCCATTAAAAATGTAATGTAACAATCGAAGATTGTGGCCTTCTTGGATGTAACTTGCCACTGTAAAATTGGGAAGAGAATGCACAGTAATGGGCCTGCGATTTCGCTCGATCTGAAACCTTTATGTGTGAATCCCTGACCCTAGCTCTCAATTTGGAGATTTAAAGGAAGAATACAATCAAAACAAATTTATGTTATAATATAATGGTCGTATTCACGCATCTACCAACTAGAAGGGAGTCTTTTCCAAATACAACGGTCATACACACGACACCATCTTTTACAGAGATGGTAAAAAAGACTAATATGTGCAACTGTTGGAGAATAAGGGGATGTCATGACCTCGTGGATTTTATTTTATTTTATTCAGATCTTCCTAACTAATTTCCTTATTTTCTTCATTCTTTGATTCCAGGAAGAGACTTTATCGTAATCTCTATTTAAAAAGTCTTTGACTGCTGAATAAAATATGATAGCATTTTACTACTGCCTGCCTAAACTAACGTACAAAACATAAAGAACTAAATGAATCTTTTAAAACATAATGGACCGTAATGAACTACCAAAAGCCTTTATGTAGAAACAAGAATATTTCATATATAATCGAATATTCAAATTATTAAGCCTAAAGAACTTGAAAAAAAAGCATATTTAGAAAACAACGAACATATTAAAACAAAGGCAGGGCATGAGAAGTCCTAAGGGAGCAATTTTTCATGCAATGTAAAAAGGAAATCCTGAAATAGAACTATAAGCCGTGTAAACATGTCATCTTAAACCTTTTGTGATTAGTCTTGGCATCAACGTTACAAAGTATGTAATAGCACCAGAAACACATCAAGATCATTACCATTAGTAACCTAAATCTCGAAGTTAATGTAATCTTAGGATTGGTCCACATGAAAAAAATAATGAAGCACAATATGTACATGTAATTGTGAATTTGAATATATGGTAAAACAGCATCGAGATATACCTCGGTCCCTAGCCGCTTGTTCAGTGCTTCATTCCACATGTTTGCAGCATAAGCTGGCTGCATCCTTGTCCACATAGACATGACAGAAGTTACCTGCATATAACATGTAAATCTTTTGTAAAAAAGATGCAAATAAAAAATAGACTACAATTGCTCTCAAGGAACAACAGCGGATAACATTGTTTTTTTTTTTTTTGCATGAGACACAGGTAAGGAAGAGAGAGTGTAGATTAGTTGCTCTTTCTTCAAGCACTAATAAATTCGGCATTGCTTAAATGTAAGGAGCAATGTTGTTAGAATCGAGATCTCACATAAGATCGAGAGGGAACATTAAGATCGTAAAATATAAAATCGTAATTAAGATCAAAAGATCGTACACAATTAATTTTATAAGATCAAGAGTGTATAACAAAATCGTAAAATATAAGATCGTAAACAAAATCGTAAGATTTTACTAAAAACAATACTTCAAATACTTATATACTTATATTATATATATATTAAATAGTGCATAAGTTTGAATATTAATATAAAAAAATTAAAGGATAATTGTATAGATGTATGGTCATTTGTCACGTGAAGAAACAAACAAGTTAACATTTTGTATTAAGTTATTGCTACTTCAATTGCAATGACATGACACATACGATGTACAGCTAATATTATTTTAAGAATTTATCATATAATAAAGTCTGACGCTTCCTATATTATATTGAATATTTACTTTGAAAAGCTAATATTATTCCAAGACCAAACAATATACAACATTAAAACATGACTCAGTGTGGAAGATGAAAACGCAAAGGAAATAAGAAACAGCGCAAAAAACTAAAAACAGAGCACGCTTGCATCTTCTTCTCCGGCAGCAAAATTTGAGAACGATGGAATCTATGTCACCAAACTTGCAGAAGCCAAACTGTTAGGATTCAGAGCTATTGAAAAAATTAGGTGTTTACGTATTTATAGCATACGGGTTATATACCGGGTCGCACTTGACCCGGGTAACTAAGCCCAATGTTTTCCAGATTTTCGGGATTCTACTGTCATATTTTGAAATCTATTAATTTCGCCGAGATTTCCGCATAAAAACGATCCTATTAAAGATCCAGATCGGTGGCGGTGATGGAGATCGCAAAATCGTGCGATTCCACGATCTGGATCGCGATCTTGACAACATTAGTAGGGAGAACATATAGGCCTTTTTTCTTGTAAGTTGTAACAGAAATCTTGACAATAATTTGCTTTCTTAATGCCCTATTTACTAACTATTTCTTCTAAAGACTATCAATCAAACATGATTCAAATTGTTTCTAACAAATAGCAATAGGTTTTATCACTCATTCCCTTAGAATGACAATGCAGCGGTTTTCAGCTAAACATATATTCTATATAGAAACTCGGATTCAGATTCACTGACTTTCCATTCTCTACCTTTGCCTGACTTTAGGCATTTTTTTTGGAGAAAGAAGTGAAAAAGGGAGAAAAAAGAGGGGGAAAGCTGATGAGAGAGAGTGATATATAAGAGAGATATAGAGAGGAAGTTAGGGTGCAGTTCCCTCCACAAAGTCAGTGGATCGTCTCCCATAGAAATTCTGGTTCAATTGCATATTTGTGTTACTATCTTTTTTTGAGTATATATTTATGTTACTCTTTGCACAAATAAGGAAAAGATTAAATACCAAGTGAGCATCAAGAGGTGGAGGATAATTATCCGCTACTGTGTCAATCCAACTGAATATCATATTGTGATAACCATATGGCTTGCCAGACATGCTCCGCGCATACTCCCATGCTGCAGTGGAGTTGAATTTTGCACGCAACTCTGGATGCAGGGGAAGCAACGCTATCTGTGGGTTGGAATCATCTTTAAGAGCAGACTCCCACCATTCGTGCCATGGAATTACCACTATTATTTCTTCACCCTGCACAAAGACAGACCTTCAAGATAACATAATACTTTATGGACCAATGGATATCGGTCACTAGACTCACTACCCTCAGTAACTATGATATGTGAATCAACCAATCAATTACAAAATTCAGTATTTACAAATGAATATGTTGAGATCGTGTTGTAATGAACATTTATAGAAAACAAAATCCATAATGGAATTTATAAATTGTAATAAAATTTATAAAATTGTTTTGTATATTAGACAGTAAAATCTTCCACATTTATACCTTTTCATTCTCGTGCCCAGACTCACCAACCCACAAATTACCCATTTCATCCTTTAAGCAAACTGCTGTATGACCAGCAAATGCACCAGTTACCCACTTTTCAAGTGTCTCAAAACCTCCCCACCTACCGCGGATTTTTGACACAGCCAAAAAATCTCCAGAATGAACATCTGCAGGATCAATAGTTACACGCCAGGGCTGAATTCGTTTCTCAAATGTAGCTCCCATGTGCTTCTTAAGAAACTCCAAATTGGATCTCTGACCCCATGCAGTGTTAGAGAATAGAGGCAACACATCGACTAGAGAAAGCAGCGTACCGAGCATGCCTGCTGGCATTAGAAACACAGAAATTCCATGCTGCTTTACCTGTACAATTCAGTGAGAATTTTCTTTCTAAAATTAGAATCTACCCACAAAAAGATCTAAACATAACAGAAAACCACACTAAAGAAAATACATATTCCAACTCTGCGGGCTCTTCCCAAGAATCAAGCTTCAAGGTATGCTCTCGCGCAGAGAAGTAGTAGTCCCATGTAACCCTGTACGGAGTTGCAAAAACATACAGATCCATGCAGGTCCAGCTGTGTGCTTCGTCTGTCTGTAACAGACCAAAAACTATACTTTCAGCAGAGCACAAAACAAAACTCATATCCACATGCTTATACTTTTCATTAATCCAACTAACAACTACACCTAATTCCAAGCAGTATCAAATATAAATTAAATTCAGATAAACAAAGCTATGTATTTAGCCCCCAAGGATCTATCTAAGGTGTTCCCCATAATTTTCAGATTGTTCTCACATCAGACAATATGTGACCTGAACACCTGCTTATAAGTAAGGGCAATCCTCACCCTACAGGCCGATTTTGTAGGGTTGAGTTAGGCCCAGCCACAGTTCTTAACATGGTATCATTTATTTCTAAGCTCCAGATTGTCCTAGGCGTGAGGGGTGAGTTAAGAGTCTCACATCGGACAAGTTATGGCCTGATCATGAGTTTAAAAGTGGGGGGAATCTTCATCCTACAAGCCGGTTTTGTAGGGTAGAGAATTAGGTTCAACCACATTTCTTAACACAGATAAACAAATCAAATGTAGGTAAAAGGGGATCATGACGTAGCTGTATTTCAATGAGGTCCACTTGCACTCAATCAAGCAGAGAATTTATAGTTATACATGAGTGCAAGTGCAAGCAGTTACACTATTCATTAAAAACATAGCAATTGCAGTTAAATTCATAAATTCCCAACTACTATCCCATATGGATCATACCATCCGTGAATCAATCATGAAATTAGAAGTGATGAAACAAGTGTTTTTCCAGTACTTTAAGAGCAAAAGGGTAATCAAAATAGAAACAAAATTCACATAATTATGTAAACATTTAGCTTGAAAAATCTAAATTCAATCACTTTTATTTTCTAACATCATCTTCCGTGTCTAGGTACCAGTATCAGTGTCGCCATCCATATCACGTTTAGTTTTGAAGAGGATAACAATATTTAGGTATAAATTTTGAAAAGAAATTATTACTATTCTGAAAGAACACTATGATAGATGACAAAATAACGTTTCAATCGTAATCAATTCATTTTGAGAAACATTTGATAACCATCTTAATTTAGAAAAGGAAATTAATTAATCATATCGGTTCCAAAATCTTGGGATGAAACATACCCTAAAAGAAGAAAGAATAAAAGAAATGAAAGAAAACCTTGAGATAGAGAATGGCACCACCCAAGCCAGAATCATTGTTGTGTTGATTAGTGAACTCAAGTTTGGCTTGATTATCAAAAAAGCAAGCACCTTTCCATTCAATGGAACCATTATACGGAGTCACCGATCCAACAAACGAAGGAAGCAAATCAACGGCACTATGGAAATTATTGAGCACAGGCCATGAAATCCCAGGGGGGAGAACTGGTAACACATCGTTGACTCTGAAAGGAACTTTAAAAGAATCAGCGAAACTTAGGGTTAGGATTAAGAGCACAAGTAGGGGAAAAGGAGACATGGGATTTTGTTGAACTTTGGGGTTCAGTGGGTTTGGGCCATTTGGGGATTAGGGATTTGGGGAGAGATGTGGATAATGGTGGTGGTGGTGGTGGTGGTGGTGGTGGTGATGGTTAGGGAAATTAGCGTGGACGGTTATGAAACGTGGCGTGTAGGGAGGAGATGATGGAAAATTTAACACCGATTACAACGTGTTTATTGAAATGTACAGTTGGTGTCACATTCTTTACATCGTTAGTATATATTAATAACTTTTTATCTTTATTATGAATTTTTTTTTAACAATAACTAAATATTAAAAAAAAAATACACAAATAACCATATTTTGAAGAAAATTACGGAAATAATCAGATTTCAAAAATTTTCACAATAGAGGAGTCAAGTGAGATGGTGCATGCAATCACTTTTTTGCCCTATGCGTCATTTCACTTGGCGCATGCACTTTGTTTTAGTCAAGTGAGATGACGCATGCACTACAAAAAAGAAAGGAGACACCATCCGAGATGGTTACTACGTGCAATTGTATTTTCTATAAATAAATTACTCATTTCTCCATCATTCTTCACACTTTCTCGCATTGTCTTCTTAATTTTTCCCTGTTATTTGCGTCATGACATCTCCCATGATTTTCACCTGAGATGGATACGTTATTTTCTCGGCCATCAAACCTCCGACGAAAATGAAATTTTGGTACATTCACTTCATGTGGCGTCTGAAGAGAGGGCTTATGCGATGGCTAGAGGGAGACATCGAGATTGGGGAACAAATTAGAAGGATCCAAAAAAGAAGAACAGTCGTCTCACTTGCAACTGGAATACCTAATTTTTGGTTGGAGGAAGTCAAAACAGACAGAGACGTAATGGTGATGATGCATGGCTCAGATGAAATTGTTTTGACAGTTGTAATTTCTTAGACGTTTTATCATGTTTTTATTTGTTGTTTGCGTATGGTTTGTTGTAACAAATGTTCTTAATGAAAAACAGTAATGTTTAGAACTTAAAAAAGTGCATATGGTTTGCATACAATTTTTATGTTGTCGAGCTTGTAGCCCGAGTGGGACAATTTTTTCGATTGTGTCTGACCTGACGACATAAACCACACTTTCTTTCTAGCTTGTCAAGGGAGTCCATTTCAGTTGTAATACGTTTGCTTTTGGGACGACCTTTTTTATTCCTTCGCATTTGATCGTTGTGCATATTATTTCCCCGTCGTATGCAGGCTAATAATCAGGTTTCGCTACCATTGGGAAGCCATTATTGTACACGTCGAGCAAGGTTTCGGACTTGTAAATTGGAGATATAAGTTGTAATGCATCTTAATAAGTATACACATATGCTGCAATGAAATGAGAGCAAGGCATACGAAAGGCTTGAAACTTGCCACAATCGCACCAACGAGATGGTAGTATAACCTTATACTCTTGTCTTGGCAGCCCCTCGTTGTGGTTGATTGTCTCTTTGACAATGAAGTTGTGGCTATGTCGGTCGAACCTTATAACAAGATGGGTATTGGCTTTGGCACTTTCTACCTTAATATACTTCATGCAGCTTTCACTTCATAGTTGTCCCGATTGTAAGACTGCATTCCATATTTCACCTCTTTTGGCAAACAACAAAGCCATCATAAAATATGTTGGTTTCACCAAAGAAGTTACAGGGAGGTTTCGTATGCCTATGAATACACTGTTCATGGATTCGATAAGATTTGTTGTCATGTGGCCCCATCATTATCCATTTTCGTATGACCTTGTCCATTTCTCCACTAGAATATTATCAATCCACCTACCTGCATTCGAATTTGGCAATCTGATCTCGTTGCGATAGTGTTTGAACGAAGGTTGTGTTAATGCATACCCTATGTTCATAACTGTTTTCCTAAGAGCCTTGTCTTTGATCTCCCTCGTGAAATTTTGTATGATATGTCTAATGCATTAGACATCCGTGGAAGGAGGGCCATGTCAACCGTTTGCAGGATTATCATATGCACTCTCAATATATGCATGTCTGTCGAAGATCAAACAGAGATCAAGTTGAGGAGCCACGTGTGTTCGGAGATTCCTTAGAAAGAAACTCCAAGCACCACTAGTCTCTCCCTCGACTAGAGCAAAGGCAATTGGGAAAATGTTGTTGTTGTCATCTTGTGCAACTGCCATCAGTAGCGTGTCTTTGTATTTCCCGTACAACCACGTTCCATCAATTTAAATAATAGGTTTGCATGACGCAAACCCTATGATGCAAGGTTGAAAAGCCCATAACAATCGTCTGAATATTCCATTTCTGGTGACACGAGTACCATCTGGGGTGTACACCGGTATTGTTTCCATAATATAGACAGTTCCCGGAGAATACGTCAGGAGTGCATGCAGGTAGTGCGAAAGTTCTTTGTATGACTCCTCCCAGTTTCCATATACTTTTTCAATCGCCTTGGTCTTTGCTAACCACGTCTTTCGGTATGATGGAGTATAGTTGTATACCGTAGTGATGTGAGAGATTATAGTTTTCACCTTCAATGACGGATCATTGCTGACGAGAGGTAGGATTTCTTGACATATGAGATCATAATTTAGTTTACGATGATCTTGTGATTGAGTATAATTGACGCACATGTGGGTAGACATAGAACCTATCACCCAACAATCACCTTTTAACATGTATGATGCAGTCATCCTGAACATACAATCTGGGTGAACACACCTAATCTTGTACCTTTTTGGATTTACCCGATCCACCTTAAAATCGATAGAGTTTAGCATGTGAAACTTTTTTATAGCTCGCATACAATCTTCTTTATTACAAAATTTGTCTTTCTCTTTTAAATTTTCATCGGACTGCATATACGGGTTGAGAAAAACATCAGATGATGGTTCATCTCCGCCCATGTTGAAGTTTGTCATGTGTGAAGGTGGTGTGTAGATCTCATTCGGAGGTATTTCAGGTAGCCCATCGTCTTTAGAATCATTGTTGACCATGTCGTCAAACTTTAATTCTTCATCATCCTCTTCTTCGTCAACGACATTGTTGTACCCCAAAATTTGCCCTCCCATTTTTCATAGAAGACACAACCCTAGGGTTTCTCGGATATTCAAGTTGGTTCAGAAATCGACCAGACAGATTCTTTTCTGTGGCAGTAAACCAACAATTAGGTTTTTTTCCTTGCAATCCTCAGCAGAAAATGAATTCTCAAAAAGATTCAATTGGTTTTCACAGATCTTCATGCTTTCTCAAGTTTCCTGAAAAGACAGTGTTTGTTCTCAGAGCATGGTTTGTTTGGGACAAGAGATTAAGACTGTCATGTAGGACACTCCTGATTGTTTTATCCAGGTTAACCAGGTGATTTGCGTCTTTTAAAACATTTTCTTGGTTAGAAAATGGAATATACAGTGCGTGTTTGTTTGAAATGCAGTTACAGAATTATTGGGATTACTTGGAATTTAAGTTACCAGTCTGGAACATTTTACTTCAAGTATCTTGATTGGAATTTTCAAAAATCAATTAGGATGCGAAGAGAAAATTACAAGTTATTGTTGATCAAGAATTTCAAGTAACACCAGAACATTTCATATGATTTTCTCCAATTTCATATATTGTTACAAAACAATTTATTCTTTTAAATATTTTAGGTATTACAACTTATCGTATTTGAAAATGAATTGATACAATTATTGATTACAATACAAGAATGATTTTTTCTAAATTACAAAGAAAATCCAAATGTTTGATTGGCCTAGGAAAATTAATCTATGCCTAAGCTTGTCTGAATATTGAAGTCGTATCCAATTCTTTTGTTTATCTCCGGAGACTTTCATGCTTGCCATAAAGTTCTTGCCTTCCTTGCTTTGTCATCTCCATTTTGCTCACATGAAAATAAAAGAAAGAAAATGTGATTAGTACAAAATCATTTGGGCATGAACAGAGATTTTAAATGCTATTCATCATTAAAGTTTGCAAAGTGGAATCAGAAGGCCATTTTAATTCATCACAATTTATTTCTTCTATTTGCAAATCACAAGAAGATTATTCTTCTTGGTTCACAAAAAGAAAGAGGAAAAGAAATGCTACAAAGCTGTCCAAACAAGCAAATGTTACAAAACTGTCCAAGAAATGCTACAAAGTTGTCCAAACAAGAAGAGATGCTACAAAACTGTCCAAATAAAATGCAGCAAAACTGAATAAAACAAATGCTGCAAAATTGCCCAAACAAATATTGCAAACAGAACTAAACAAACATTAATATGGTAAACAACAAACAACAGTCCTAAAAACCACACAAACAGCTTTGTCCAAACAAAATGCAAACAGCATCAACAAAAACGAGGCAGCAACATAGCAAGTAAGCAAACAGCATCAACAAAAGTCAAAGCAGTGCAGCAGCATGGCAAATAAAGCAAATAGATAAGTCAAATAACAAAGCTTGCTCATAAAGTCATCATTTTCAATTTTCCTTTGCAAACCTTTCAGAATTGGAAAAAAGGGGAAAAAAGCAATTTGCTTTCCTATTGTCATTGAGAGAGAAGAGAGGAAAGAAGTCACATGGGTTATTGGGATGCACAGCTTTGCTGCCCTGCCTGTCACAAGTTGCACAGAATGTGCTAAAAAACAAAACTGCAACAAAAAGGCCATATGAACAATATACTGAAAATATTCAATTGGTGGGTTTCCCACCATTTTGAATATGAATTCAACAGAATCAGGGCCAATATAACAGTGGACACAACTCTCAAGCAAAAGACATAGAAAAAATTATCAAACTCAAAAACAAGAACACAACCATCCAACCTTCAAAAGCGGTCAAACCTCAAAAACCAACATAAGTCCCAACTGATAAACCAGCAACCATCTCAAAAAACTGTAACAAAGCCAAACTGTCAAAACCAAAAACCTGAAACCAAGTATCAAGCTAAAAACGCAATAGCCATCCTCAAACCAAGACTGTAACAAAGCCAAACTGAGGAACCAGAACCATCAACAAAAGCAAAAACCTGTCAAAGTATCAAACCAACCA